TAACCTACCTTCAACTTCGGCACTTGAACATTCCAAGTAATTTACGTTTAATGCTCCTTTCCTTTGAAATTCTCTAAGTACATATCTAGGAGCAGGATTCCTGGATCTTCATGGTATGCAAATGCTCAGCTTTACATGACAATGCCAAACTGTTTTTCAAAGTGTTATACCAATTTCCAAAGCCACGAGTAATATATGCTGCTTCACATCCTTGCAAAGTACTACTATCAGAGTTCTCAATTTTGACCATTTTGAATGGGAAGAAAGTGGGGTCACACAGCAGTCTTGACTTTTGTTTGAATAATTACTAGTGAGCTTAAGGCAAGATACTTCTGAAGAAACAGAAGAAGAGGACTTGCCTTACTAAAAACTAGAGTTAAGTTATAAGTAATTACTTAGGTAATGAAGGTAGAATGGCGCTAGTAAAGGATGGACAGATGGACCAGTGGAGCAGAATAGAGACTCTGAAATGGATGCATATATATGTTGGGGCTTCATATATGAAAAGTAGTGTAGGCAAAGGTAGAACTATCCAAAAACCGGAGCTAGAAATGTTGGATCTATAAAGGAAAAAAAAAAAAAAAACCAAAAAAAAACCTTTGGATCTCTTTCTTGTAGTCCATACAGAAATGAACACCAGAAAAATTGAAAATTTAAATGTCAAATGCAAGACTTTAAAATTTTTAGTAGAAAATAGAGGTAAATCTCTTTCTGACTTTACAGAAAAGAAGAATTTATTAAGGCACAAAAAGCATTAACCATAAAATAAAAAAGTGATAAATTAAACTGTGTTAAAACTATATATTTTTGTTCATCCAATACATCATAAATGTAGTGAAAGACGTACTATAAATTGAGAAAATATTGCAACACCTATGACAAATAATTAGTAAGATGAATATATAAAGATTCCTTACATACCAATAAGAAAAAGACAAATTGCCTAATAGAGAAATTGGAAAATTACACAAACATGTTTTATAGAAGAAGAAATCTTTATATGGATTGCATATTACGTACGATGAAATACAAAATAACTTTTCAGATGAATTAAGATATTCAGACCAGAAAGTCATAAGAAAGAGAAAACATTGAGTTTCCTTTACTTGTACCCTTCACGCTTCTGTCTTCTTCCCTCAACAATGAATGCTTTCCTTCAAAAATGGATTTTCCCATTCCACTGTGAGGTCACACATGCATGAACAGTGTCGATATTCCAGAGCACTAGGGTTTTCAGGTATAAATGTTGATGTTTGCGCATGCATATGCTTGCTTACACACTCTTGCACTTACACACCACATATACTTGCATTTATTCTGGATATAGAAATTGAGCAGCTCCTTTATGCCAGGCATTCTACAGGACTCTGAAGAAACAGCAGTAAAAAAGATAAAGAATTCCTGGGAAAAGACAGACAAAAAATCAGCAAGTAAATTGTTGTTATATTTGAAGGTGTTGGGAGTTCGGAATGAGAATATAACGGCAAAAATAGATCAAATGATACCAGAAGGGGCATGTGTACAAAGTTTTAAATTGGGTGATCAGGAAAAGCCACAATGAGCAGCATTTGAGCAAAGAATTGAAGGAGGTGAGGGTATCAGTTATGCTTACATCTTGAGGGAAGAGAGTATCAGGCAGAGGAAACAGTAAATGCAAAGGTTTGGAGTCAGGAGCAAAATTGACATATCTGAGAAAAAACAAGGTGGTCACATGGCTACTGTGATGTAAGAGGGGTGGAGAACAGCAGAGGAGGATGTCAGAGAGTGAATGGGAGAGAAGAGGACAGGGCATAGGCACTTGTAAGCCCTTGCAAATACTTTGAATTTAACTCATAAGAATGGAGAGTCATCAAAGGATTTTGAGGAGAGAAACTACGTTTTCTAATGGTCACCTTGGTAGATGTGGTCACTTGAGGCAAAGGTGGAAGAGGCAAGGTGGAAGCAGGAAGAACAGTCGGGAGGCTATTGCATGACTCCACTAATCCATGTGAGAGGTGATGGCGGCCTGGCATAGCGTGGTTTGGGGGTAGCGAGAAGTGTTCAGGTTCTATTTTGAAGATAGAGAGCCTGCAGTATTTGCTGATTGGGTGTAACATCTATGAGAAAGAGAAGAGTCAAGGATAAAAAATATTTGTTATGGCAAGCATGCCTCAACTGATTGTTGTCAACCAATGTACACCCATTAGCAGGTCATGCCCACTTTGCACTAGGTTTCTACTTTCTTGTCTGTTATTGAATTCTTCCCCAAATGAGATTCTAGTGCATGCTTTGACAAACTGAAAGTGAACAATTCATTCTGAGAGTTTAACAAATTCCATGTCAATATGCTAAAAAAAAATTCAGCCACTAGTAAAATTGTCGATTTGATTGAAAACATGAGAAAGCCTCAGGCACAATCTCCTGAGTTCACACCTTTATTTTTTACTTCTTTTCATTATTTGTTTTATTTTAAAAAACTGACAGATAAAATTGTATATATTTACGTGTAAAAGATGATGTTTTAAAGTGTATATACATTGCGGAATGATGAAATCTAGCTAATCAATGTATGTATTACCTCACATAGCTATCATTTTTTTTTGTGAGAATACATTAACTCTCAGCATTTTTCAAGAATACAGTATATTTTTAATTACAGTCACCACGTTGTATAATAGATCTCTTGAAATTATTCCTTCTATCTAACTAAAATTTTGTATTCTTTGACCGACATCTCCCCAACCCCACCCCACTCTTCTCAACTGCCCCAGCACCTGGTAACCACCATTCTACTTTGTATTTCTATGGAATCAACTTGTTTAGATTACACATATGAGTGGGATCATGCAGCATCTGTCTTTCTGTGCCTGGCTTATTTCACTTAAAATAATGCCTTCCAGGTTCATCCATGTTTTGGCAAATGATAGGATTTCCCCCCCTTTTCTTTTGGCTGACTAGTACTCCATTGTGTATATGTACCACATTTTCTTTATCTATTTAGGTGGATTTGATATCTTGGCTATTATGAATAATGTTGCAATAAACATGGGAGTGCACATATCTCTTTGATACAGTGATTTCATTTCTTTTGGATGTATACCCAGTAGTGTGACTGCTGGATCATATGGTAGTTCTATTTGGAATTTCTTGAGGAACCTCTACTGTTTTCTATACTGTCTATACTAATTTACATTCCTGCCAACAGTGTACAAGAGTTCCCTCTTCTCCAATGCCAACACTTATTATCATTTGTCTTTTTGATCACAGCCATTCTAACAGGTGTAGGATGATACCTCATTATGTTTTTTAAAAATTTACATTTCCCTGATGATTAATGATGTTGGACATATTTTCATATACCTGATTGCTATTTGCATGTTTTATTTTGAGAAATATCTATTCAAGTCTTTTGCCAATTTTTAAATTGTATTGTTTACTTGCTAATGAGTTGCTTGAGTTCTTTATATATTTTACATATTAATTCCTTATCAGATGTATAGTTTGTAAATATTTTCTCCCATTTCATAAGTTGTCTTCTACCTCTGTCGATTATTTCCTTTGCTGTGCAGAAGCTTTTTAGTTGGATGTAATTCTGTTTGTCTGTTTTTGCCTTTGTTTCCTTTATTTGCTTAGACCAATGTCATGAAACATGGCTTTATGTTTTTAGATGATCATCTTTCACTTAATGCACAATCATTGTAATTGTGGCATTTTAAAAATAATTCATTTATTAAAAAACTAATTATTGAGCAATTACTACATACCAGGCTTTCTGCAAGTGCCAGTGATCCAGAGATAACAAGGGAATCTCCTACTCTCAAAGAGCCTGCCATCTAGTGGGAGATGCAGTAATGTAATTGAGTAGAACAGAATGAGATTAGCTGCAGAATAGCCATGAGAACAGAACAAAGTTCTAAGAGAGCATAAAGGGGTGGCATAACTTAATTTTATCAAAAAAATTCAGGAAAACTTATACAGAGAGGAAAAGTTTACAAGTAACTATGTAGGGAGCTGTCATGGGTATTCCTGTTAAAAGAAACATGTGAGGAGCATAAAAGAGGCTGGCCTCTTTTATGAAAATAAAATATGAGATTATGAAAATATGAGAAAATATTTATAAAAGAGGCTGGCCCATTGGGTTGGCTGCACATGTATGTGTTTGTTAAGGTTTGGGAGTGTGTGAGTGAATGGTGGAAGGAAAAGCAGTACTGAAAGGAAAAGCAGTAATAGATCTTGAGCATTCTTATATATGACAACGAAAGATTTGCAATTAATCCTGTAGGCAATGGAAGTTGGCAAAGAGGCTCTCAGTAGGGAAATGGCATGATTAGATTAGATCACTCTGGCAAAGCTGCAGAGAACAGACTGAGAGGAGGCCCTAGACTGGGAAATCACTTACTCCACTGCAATTGGCCTAACATTTGAGCAGTGTGGGAAGAAAGGATGAGACATCTCAAAAAACTACTCAAAAGGTATACTTAGTCCAGTTTGGTTGAGAATGAATGACACGTGGGTAGATAGCAATGAGTCTAAGATGCTCCCTATATATCAGTATTTGGAAATTAGATGGAAGAGAGCACATTGCTCTATGCTGAGGACTAATAGGAGGAGAAGCAGTTTGAAAAGAAGATGTGTCCAGTGTTCAAGGAGTGATTGTGTAGTAAGGTAGAGATCATTAAAGAGCCAATTTGAAGTTTAGAATGAAGTCTGGGTGAAAAATCAAACGTGATTAGTGGAAAGTCTCTTAAAGGTTAACCTATAATTTTTATGAAAGCATAGGAATTTATTTTCATATTCCTAATAGCAAACGCAAAACCTTTAACTACACATATATTTAATAAATACATTTTATAGGTATCTATGTAAAATAAAGAGCAACCACCATACGACAAACTCAGTGGCAGAAAAGTTCCAGTGCAATAAGTATGTTTAAATTCTACTGGGAGCACTGCAAATTAAAATTATATCTGGGGAGATTATATGGCAATATATAAGAGCTATAAAGATGATCATATCATTTTACCCAGTAATCCTACCTCTGGTTATTAAAGGGAAGTAATTCAGTATATATTAATGAAACTGATCTTATAGTTCTGATCTTTATAATAAGTTACAAGAAAATGGTTTAATATGTATGTGTGTATATTTACTTGAAGTTGAAATATGAAGGCTAAAAAACCGGGAAGATATTTAAATTGGTGTTAAAACAGCATTTAAAATGACTACAATTATGAGAACACATGTATGCCAATACAGATTCACTGGAAAAATACTAAAAATGGAAACTGTCAGATGGTAAGATTATAGATCATTTTATTTCCTTTTTATTTGAAATAAGTTGGTACAGCACAACTTTTCAAAAGCTTCTATAAATGTGTATGCCAAGTTGTAATAAAGCAAACATATGCATATAGACATGCTTAAACAGTTATTCTTTCTTAGGTACCTGGGGAGATTGGGATGAAGAAAGGGGGGCAACTTGAATGAAGGTGGAGGAGAAAAATGACAGAAAAGAAAGCAAAGGATTGCAAAGCTCAGTGTGGCAGCAGCCTCTCTTCCCCTCCTGAGAGAGTCAAAGGGTGGCACCAGGGACTCATGATCCATGGCTGTGGAAGCCTCATGTCACACTGGATGTCACATGAGGTGGGATGGAACACAGTGACCACTCTACCTCATTTCCTTTACAGTTTCCGTGCTGGGCCATGGCAGTGAACAGCCTTCAGGCATGTCTACAGTGGAAGATCTGAATTCAGGCTGGTGACAGGAGACAACACAACCACATTTTCTTCTATGCATACATTTGGTTTCATTGACACATTAACCACAGACAAAGGGTTAAAGGCCACAAGGCGTTAGGTTACTATGAACAGGGAAAAGGGACTTTTTTTTTTTTTTTAAAGAAAATAAAAAGCATCAGTATTGCAAAGACTTTCCGTGATCCCACACCCACCTCAAAAGCCCCCTCTCACCACAGGAAGTGCGCTGACCATTGGAGGCATAAAAGAGGTCCTCAAAGAGCCTGATCCTCACTCTCTCCCTGCCCAGCTCAGCAGGACCTCAGCCATGAGACTTCTCATCTTGGCCCTTCTTGGCATCTGCTGTCTCACTGCATACATTGTGGAAGGTAAGTCGAGAAGCTGTCTGTGAGATAAAGAACAGGGAGGCAAGGCAGAGGGGCACACATTTTGGGTTTGACTCAGGTTTTGACTGAAGTAAACTGCTTTCCTCAGGCGAGCCTTAAACTTCCCATGTGCAAAAAAGGAATGATGATTTTGACTGTAGGGGGCTTCGTAAACTCCCAGAACAGGGAGAATTTGGTTAGTATCTGGGCTCCTACTTTTCCTAATTGGGTAATTTTGGGTACATTTCTTAACCACTCAGGGCCTATGCTTATTTATGTATAAACTGAATAGGATAACAGACATGATCACCTGAGATTAAGATTAAATATTATGGTTTATTTATTTAATAACATCAGATTTCCTTGCAAACAGTAATTTTTTTATTAATGTTAGCTATAGATTAGAGGTGATGATTATAAATGCATTTGTAGCTTTTTCCCATTTAATATATTGTTTGATAAATTATCAAAATCTTTGAGAGTTCAGTTACAATGTAGGGATGCATCAGAGGATATATGCTCTGGAGCAAATCAATGTTTTCAATACAAAACCAAGCCCCAAATGACTGGAAGTTCAGACCTTCATGTCCAGAAAATCAATATTACCTTCAAGTATGTCGGGGACTCTGTTAGTAATGCCATGAATATTACTATTTATGAGAAATTTTCTCTATTTGTAAGAGACCATACAATAATAACTACTAACAAATAGGTCAGCAACTTACACACAGTTCAATAAACCTGCAAGACACATCCAGGTAAGATTCAGCTATACTCAGCCCTTACCTGAGCATTCAGTAGATATTTCTTGAAGGGTTACTTTTTCCTATGACTGGAATGAATTCGTCTACTTATTTGTGTTCTAATTGGTAGACTTATTACTTAGACTATGATATCATAACTTAATAATGGGTCCCGAAGGGGTTCCATGAATAAAGGTTGCTGTCTGGAAGTCCTTGAAATTGTGTACAAAACAAAAAAAAATTGATGAAACAAAAAAGTTTGATTACTACAGTAGGCCACATGTTGCTACGTGGCTGGCATTTTGCTGAGACAATGGGCATACCATCTGAGGGAGATTCAGATCTGGAGTAGGGGAAAGGAGGTCTGTTAGAGGCTGAGAAGAACTGTAGACCCTGGTCTCAAATTCCCAAGTTTTCTAGTTGAAGGAGCTCTATAAGTCCCACTGGTGCTTAGCGTCTTACTTACAAAAATGAGGCAAACAGTCTCTGCTTTAATTCAACTCTGCAACCTGAGTGAAGGTGATATTTTAAAGAATAACACAGACACACAAACATTGCTGAGAATAAGGAAAAGGCTTTGTGGTTTCAAGTCTAACAGGATTCCCTGAGTCTTGGGAGTCCATTTCAGATACTTCACAGAGAGAAATCTTGTTTCTTAAATATGAGAGAAACAGAGAAAAAGCCCAGATTTTTCCTCTTTCATTGGTTGCAGAAACAATTCAGCATTAAAAACATATTGGCAAAGGTAGAGGGTAGGAATGTGCAGACTGGCACTGAGAGAGGAGGAGAGGAGAAGGAATGATGAATAAAAGCACACTGTGAACACTCTTTGTTTAGTTCCATGCTTTAAAAAATGCCTTCTGATATTAGCAACACTACAGACCAATCTTGGTCATTATCAGTGGTTACTTTAGACGCTTTTTAGCTGCCTATTTCTCTGGGTAGCAAAGACCAGTGTCTACAGTTAAGGAGAAAATCAGCACTTAGAAACTTTGATTAGATTTTACCCAACCCTTAACAGTATTAATTCTCCCAAGTTATTTTTCCTTTTGCAATGTTAGATGTTCTCTAAACTCAATAGTTTAATTCCCTTGGGCCATTACTATTGGGGATGAATATTTTAGGGCTGACTTCCATTTACATATATCTTACCTTTTACTATTTATTAATTTTTTTGAAGGAGAGTGTTTATTATTTTTATGTACAGAAAACTCAACAGTGTACATTTAACCCAGTTTAGTGGCAAGTTCCTCAGCCTTTGCTATTTCCAGCTTGGCAATGTGAGCCACAGATTTTGGACTCAGGACATTGCAGATCTCATCATATCCATGATTGTAATTGGTCCTGATAGCTTCCACCAGCTTAGCCAAAGCTCCTTTGTTTTCCTGGTTGAGTGAAGGCAACAGTGTGCTTCCTGTGCACTGGATGTCCCAGTCTTGCCTTTCTTCTCCTTGATAATGCAGTAAGGGACCACTTTTAGGACACAGGACAAGCAGAAAGATAACCAGCTTGATGGGGTCCACACCAGGTGCAATCACTACCAGCGAGCCTTCTTGTTTTCCAGCAAAGTGGTGATGGTGTTAACCCCTGCTCTAAGAACAGGTGATTTCCTAGTGGGGACACCCCCTTTGCCAGCAGCTTTCTTCTCAGCCTGGGCCAAGAGTCTCTGCTTCTTCTCTTGCTTTGTCTCTGGTCAGTACTTGTGGATCAGCTTAAGTGGCTAAGTAGCTGTTTGGGGGTCTAAGGACTGGGTGAACTGGTTAATGGCAGAAGGTACTTTCAGCAGCTTGTGGAGGATAGCCTTCCCCCACTGAATGTTACCTTGCCTAGAGTACTCTTCACACATAACTCTGTAATCTCACTTATAGTACTGTAACATGTTGCACTATTTGAAATGATCTTTTCTGTTTACCTGTCTGTTGCCTGGCTCCCTCATTAGAAGAAATGCTCTATGAAAACAGGGATAAAACATCTGTCTTAATAAAACATGTGGGACACAACAGGCACTGTTGTATAAATAAATGAATGAGTGTCACTGGGACATTTACTAGCCATCCCAAATGTCTAAGTGAAAATATACACAGAGATGGGAAAACATCTTGTTTTTGTCTCAGCATGAAATTCCCAAAACAATTCTATTGATTGAGGTTTTAAATTAGTCAAATATTTACTAAGAATCTGTGATGGGCAAGAGATTCAGGATGCCTGTCAGTCATCTCTTCCCCCAAAAAGCAAATGGCCTTATATTCTCACAACATTCTTAGAGTAATTTAACAGATTATTGTTCCTATGATTTTGATAATAGCTTAATTTTTCATTGTCTGTTTTTTTTTTTTTTCCTCACCAGGTGTAGGGAGTGAAGTCTCAGATAAGAGTACCTGTGTGAGCTTCACTATCCAGCAACTGCCAGTTAACAGAATCAAGACCTACACCATCAAGGAAGGCTCCTTGAAAGCAGTAATGTGAGTTTGTCTTCACAGAAGCTGGGTTGGGTGGATATCTAGAGGTATAGAAGTAGAGTATACAGAAATGCTGCCTTCCTCGGAAAAGTAGGTTAACATGGAGGAACAGCTCAGCTTAACTGACAACCTCTTTATTTTTCCTTGTCAATCATGTCTTTATGCAGCCCAACTGAATGGCGATTATTGCAAAAATTGGGCTGCCAAATAAAGAATAGAAGTCCTCCTCTATTTAGCTTAGTGGAAGAGTCTGTTGAATACTGTGCACAGCTCTGAGGTTTGGGTTTAGAGATGGCTGGCCCGTGTCAGGGTTTCCCTGCAAGCCTCACTGGAGTTGGGGGTTCTTAGGGTTGAGTTAGGCAGAGTCCCTTGATATTTCAACAAAATGAGTCAATGCACAAACTACATGGTCCCCTTCTTCTACCAGAATCTCATTTTTAGAAGTAATAACTCTTCCCAACACTTAATTGCAAGCTTTACTCTAAAAAATGAAAATGTAAAAATCAGCTTTTATTAAAAATATAAGATGAGTATTTTTAAATTTGAAAAGGAAGAGGATATGTAATAATGGAACTAGATGGCCTCAAATGTCTTTTTGTTACAACATTCGGTGACATGGATGAGAAAAGGAACCTCTGAATTGTGGTGAACAAAGGGGCTGGATACTACTTGCAGATATTTCTCCTTTATGTTAAAATAAATGGCAGAAGAAGTGTGCCCATTTGTGACCTCATGGCTCTGAAAGACTATTTCTTGCAGTAATTTCTGCACAAGATCTCTTCAAGTCTGCTCTGATCTTAACTCTTCACCCCAAGACTTTGAGAATGTGGCTAAATTCATCTGTATTTTCCTTGCATTACAGTTTTATTACCAAACGTGGCCTAAAAGTCTGTGCTGATCCACAAGCCAGGTGGGTGAAAGACGTGGTCAAGAGCATGGACAGGAAATCCAACACCAGAAATAACATGATCCAGACCAAGCCAACAGGAACCCAGCAATCGACCAATACAGCTGTGACTCTGACTGGGTAGTAGCCTCTGGCACCCTGTCCCTCTCCAGCCAGCCAGCTCATTTCACTTCACACACTCATGGACTGAGTTTATACTCACCTTTTATGAAAGTATTGCATGAATAAAATTATTCCTTTGTATTTTTACTTTTAAATGTCTTCTGTATTCACTTATATGTTCTAATTAATAAATTATTTATTATTAAGAATAGTTCCCTAGTCTATTCATTGTGTGTAGGGAAAGGTAGTATATCATTTGTGTTTGATTTCTGTCCTACTTGTACCTCTCTTTGATGGTAACCGTAATGGAAGAGATTCTGGCTAGTGTTTGTCAGAGGTGAAAGCTATATTGATCACTCCTGGAGTCCAGCTTGTGGTTCTTTACACATGAGTCACAAGTTACAGCTGTGAAAATGGCAACAATTCGAGATTATTGTAACTTGTCTCTATAATAGAATTCTACTTATAGAATATGGGAGAAAATAATCCAGTCTTTACTGGGTTACCATTCTGAGGGTTCACTACTCAAAAATTTGCTTCACTCAATTTTTTTTCACCTCTTTGTGTTTTATTTTGGTTTTCTATTAAAGGAATAAAATGATACAACTTGTCCCTTTTTTTCTCCCATTAGCAAAAATTAGAATTTTGGTGTAAGGAAACTTTTTTCAAGTAAAAATAAACTCCTTTTGAATTGGACAATAACCTCCCTACCTTATTAGGATTTCTGTACTTGCCATTACTGTAGTTATCATATATGTTATACTTTACTGTGAATAAGTTTTTAATGCTCCAAATGCTGACCCATGCAGCATTTTTTCATGTGATCACAATTTGCAGTAAACTTTTAATTAAATGTTCATCTGGTCACTCAACACCCCAGATTCATGCTGTCTTGTATGCTAATTAAATTGCTGATTTGTTTCATGCTTAGGGTTTTACTATCCAAGTAGGTGATGTTGCATACATTCTGTTCTGTCAGACTCTAAATAGGAAGACCTGACCTTGTCTTGATAGTTTTAAGTGAAAAGTATTGGCTGTTGTTTAGTCCTATGGGGACATTTAGCAATATCAAGAATTTCCAGAGGGTAGACAAAGGCAAGTTGCTCAAATTTTCTTACTTGTAGTCATACAACTAGTGAATCAGAGTGGAAACTACTAAAAAGTTGTCTCCTAGCAAATGATGTGGTCACCTATCCATGTTCGTTGCTGTTTGTCTAAAATAAACTTCAGACATGGTCTTAGAGAAAGCAATCCCTTAATAAGAACAGATAACCTGCTTTATGAGGGCTGAAAAATAACAAAGTCACAAAAGATGAATGGAATGGTTTGTCTCCCAAATGTCTCTCAGTCCCTAAGGATTTATTTGGGATAATAATAATAGGATGTCTGGAAGGATATGGGCAGTGCTTGACTTTTCATTTTATAAGACTGTTCTTTTTTAAAAAATAGTAAATAGTTGTTAAAACATATAACCATAGCTATTTTCTTGATTACAAATATTAGCTCACTTAATCACACAACAGACCTCGATTAAAGACAAAACAACTGAGGCATAAAAAGGTTAGTTAACTTTCTGAAGGTCCTTTGGTCTGTGAGGGGTAGAGTTTAGATCTGAACTCTTGGAAGCTTCCAGGTGTTGACAACTGTGTCATGCTGTCTTCTTCACTTCAGAAGACAATTCCCTTCGGATGAAACCATATGTAAAGAGATGATTCAGGGGTTATCCTTATTTAACCTACAGATTCCATTCATTCATTCATTCATTCATTCATTCAATAAATGTTTACTGTGGGTTTATTATATGCCGGAAACTAAAGACACAGCAGAGTGAACAGGACAAAGTCCCTGCTTTCTCAGACCTCACATTCTGGGAAAATCTTTCTTGTTTCCCTTCCCCAGGAACTCACTCCACCAATACATTGTTATTGCATGCCTAATGCATTCCAGATGCTTGATTGGGCACTGGAATGCAATGGGGAAACCTTCAGGTGTTTACCCTCTGGGAGTTTACATTGGGGAGACACACAAGTAAGCAAACAATTTCAATGCAGTGTAATATGTGGGATGATGGAGAAAGCAGAGGGTGTGAGTTTTGAACACACAGGAGCAAACCTATCCAGATCTTAGCACGAACGGAGGGTAGGGATGAGCTTCCCTTTGAAAATAGCCTCTATCTTGAGACCAGAAGGATGATTTGGAGTTATGCTGAAGGTTTCAGTGCATTCTAGGCAAAGAAAACAAGCAGCACAGGCAAAGGCCTGCAGGTAAGAGAAATCCTGATGAATTAAGGAAATGTGAGTAGTTTAATATGACCAAGGGACTGTGCGGGGGTTAGGAAGTGGGTACAAAAGGTGATATCAGGTAGGCAGAGCAGATATTATGAAGGGCCTTGTCTGCCAGACCAAAGAGCATGTACTTCATTTTAAAGGCTGTGGGAAATGACATGAGCTACCAGGTGGAAGATGGAATGTAGAGAACAAGATAGGAGTCAGGAAGCCAATTGAGAGGGGTCTCTGGAACTTGTGACTTCTGAACTTGGCCTGGCATGGTGCAACACCTTTTACCTTTACTTCATGAGCCTTTACTGCTTAGCCAGGGAGCACATTAGTTGTGCATGACTGTGTGACTCACAATGCAGCTCAGCTGTGCATGCCAAACACCTTGGGCCAGTGACTCCTTTCACCAATTTCCTTGGCTGTAGAGAGCCAGGACTTGGATAGGAGAAAATAGCATTCTTGGATATCACTTTGTTACTTTCCTTATTCATTGGCTAAGCTAAGGTTGGATCTGTGAGAACACAATTGGAGCCAACCACCCAGAGGAAGAACAAGGCTGGGTTGTATCAGTGGAGTTTCAGAGATCCACAGACCAAACCTTTTCTAATGTATTCAATGTCCTGAATATCTGTTGACCACCTGCAGAGCACATGGGCACAGGATCTAGCCTGCTGTCCTGAAACTTGTGACAGTCATCAAAGCCATTCCCATTTGGATGTTCCAAATGGCCCAGCTCATGGCGTGACTTCTCTTGGAGATCTTCCTGATGTCACCAGCCTAGATGAGCCCCATCACCCCCATGTGCCTGCTCAGCCCATGGGCTCATCTCTATTACTGCTTATATCACCCTGAAATACCATTTTATTTGACTTTATTTTCTGTCTTACTTAGAAGTAGGTTAAGGACTATGAATTTGATGTCTGTGTACTTGTGCCTGGGACATCATAGCCTTCCAATACATTTTTGTGATCCATACTATCTTATACATATCTCTTCTCTAACAGTTATCATAAAAAGCTATAGGAATACAGTCTTCTGTGTATTTAAGTCCACTCTGGGGAAGTTAGGAAAAGCTTTGCCAAAGAAGTGTCTTTGAACCTGAGAATAGGGCTTGCCAGGAAAAGGCAAGGGTAGGCACTCCTGCCAGAAGGGCCAAATGAATGAAAGCACAGAGGCACGGAAATTGAGGTATGTGTGGGGAAGCTGCTTGTTTCCAAGATGGGTGAGTTACAGAGCTCAGGTTTATAGAGGTTTATAGAGGAAAGGTAGTTTGAAGCCAGACTGAGAAGTCCTGAGTTCCATGACAAAGGACAGGATCTAGACAGAGGGACCCAGGTTGCAGCATGCTCAGATGAGGGACAGAGAATAATAATTTGGAGGAAAATGGTTGAGGGCAGTGGGGGCCATTAGGTAATCACTGCCTTGGTGCAGGTTGGAGGAGATGCTGGCCTGAGTCAGGTTGTGGCAGTGGAAATAGAGGTGAGGATCCCAAGATAGTGCCCTGGTTACCTGGACCCCCTGGTTACCCACTGGTCAATGGGCATGAACAAACTAGAGGCCTGGAACCAGCTCTGAGGGTTCTAACATGGGTGACTGGTTCAGAAACAGCACAACTACTTGGCAAGACTAAAGTGTAACTTCTGGTGAGGCTACTAATAAATCCTGAAGGAAATAACAAGCACAAGGGAGAGGGAGGTGAGGAGAAGAAAAAACCTGGAAAAGTGAAAACCTGGTTATCAGCCTTAATAGTCACGTTATTCCGACAAAAGCCCAAACTATATTTTCATTCCCTTCTTACAGACAATTCTTCTACGAGACCGAGGTAAAAATAAGCCTGAATTTCTGTGAAACTCTTTATGCCCCTTGGGGAATAGAAAAGGTACATACAAATGGAATACAGTATCCGCCGGGTGAGTCACCAGAGCTATTTTAAAAGAGATGTGTCACATGGCAGTGGGAGGCAGAGAGCGGCAGAGATGAATCTGTAATGAGAGAAAAAGAGAAATGAGGTGAAAGAGGTTTAGAGTGGAGATCAGGGGCACCCAAGCATGACTGAAAGGTGGAGTTTGATGAGGGAGGGTGAGGAAGAAGCCAAAGGGACATTTTTTTTTTTTCTATTTAGGGGAAGAAGTAGTGAAAATTTGGACAGACTGCTGAGGGTGGAAGAAGGCTAGAGGAATAACCTGGAGATATTATTCTGGAGGCTAGGAAGGAAATTTAGAGGAATCTCAGCTAAGAGAAAGTTCCTCCTCATCAAAATAAATTTCAAACAAATACAAGAGATGTATGTTGACTTTCTGTCACACTGTGCTGCCTAGGGTAATTGTTAAAAGACTGAATTTGTAATCCGCTTCTTTCCAAAACTTGTGATTTCTTTCATCAAGGTGGAATTGCTGAACGAGATATTTGGAAAGAAGTTTCACTGTCTAGAATAAGGAAACAAAAGACCACATGGCCAGACAGAGGTTATCTTAATTGGAGTCACCAGGTGTTGTGTGAAGGAAGAGTCACTTCCCTTCCTCTGAAGACTGGATGGAAGGTTGAAGGTTGGGTGGATGGGGAGGTAGATGAGAGAGTAGGGTACTGGAAAACTAAACCCATCATAGGCAGGGGATGAAAGAGGGAGGGGCGTCATCTAATCTCTCTCTCTCTTTCTCTCTCTGGGAAAGAAACTTATGTGGTTGCTAGGAGCCTTAGCTCTGCCTAGATTGTGCACTGGCTCCACCACATACCATGCGGGTGACTGTGGGGAAATTCCTTAATTTCTCAGTGCCTCAGGTTGCCTCATTTATATAATTTGAATAGTAATAATACTGTGAGGGTTACAGCACTTAAAATAGCCTGGCATATAGTACAGGCTCAGTAAATATCAACTTTTGTTAATCTTAGTCAATGGAGTAGGATGCGGTAAAATGGAGGGTGGATGGAAAAGGGA